CCTGGTCACCCTGCATCAAACGGTCAAGCTGAAAATTTTGTAAAAACTGTTAAAAAATCATTTCATGCTTGTCTGAAAGCCAATGTTAATGCTGACATTGACAACATAATTAATCGATTTTTGGCAGACTATCGGAACTCAGTACACTGTACCACAGGAGAGTCTCCAGCTAAAATTTTTTTTGGTAGACAACTCAAGACTCGTTTTCTACTCTTAAGCCTCCTTTAGTAAAGCAAAAAATTATTGAAAAACAAGAGATTAGTGAACGCAACTACCATGGAAAACGTGAATTAGAACTGAGTCAGGGTCAAAAAGTTTGGATTCGTGACTACAGTAATCCCAATAAAGCTAGCTGGTCTCCAGGTACAATTCGAGAACAGTTAGGCCCTAGGTCATACTGCTGTACATTGTTAAATAATAGAACAATCAAAAGACATCTTAATCAAATTCGACCACGCAACTCTAATGAAGCGTCTGAATCGGCAAACACCATTGAAGTATCTGAATCAGAAGCTACTTCAAACAATAGCGCTAATAGTGAAGGTAGCATTAGTACTGACGCTGAGGCTAATCCCAATACTTTGGTTATAAATGACCAATCTACCAGCAAAAGTAGTAATGAAACTAGCACTAAAGAGAATACGCCTCAGACGGTTGATGATATAACACCTAAGCGTGCCTTAAGACCACGCCAAGACGGCAAAGCCGTAAAAAAATAGTTTTTTATAAATTTTTTTTTTAAAGAGAAGAACATAAACTAAAACAAATGTAAATATTTCAAAATTATTATTACAAAAACAAATGTAAATTTTTTGTACTAGTATTATTACAAAAAAACAAATGTAAATTTTTTGAACTAGTATTATTACAAAAAAAAACAAATGTAAAAATGAACAAATGTAAATGAATTTGTATAAAACTAAAGTAAGTTTTCAACTTTGAGGGAGGCGTGTAATATAGCATAGCACACTTTTATGTGACGTGCCCTTTAGCACACTTATGTGTCTTGACCTTAAGTACGTATAATATTGCGCTGCCTCTCGAACGCTCCATTGTTAATAAACCCAACACTAGAATTATCGATATACATATGAATAAACCACCACTACATTTTCTACCACTAAGCAACGTGCTCAAGTAATTTCTTTTCCTCCGGCTTTTTATAAGTATATATATTGTAAGTACAATATATGTGTACTATTTGAAGTGGATATTCGTAAGTACGAATATACTACAATAATATATACCGAACCCCATTGCTTGGCCATAGAAAAAATCTATGTAATAACACTCCAATTTGCGCCAACTGTAACCTTCCCCCCACACTCCTTCAAATTGCATTCGTACACAGTGCGCAAACTGCTTGCAAGAGCATGCTTCAACGTCAAACATGAGTACCAAATTTCAACAACAAAAACAACTTCTTAAAATTCAAATAGAAAATAAATGCACCATACGGGAAGCAAAAAATATTTTAAAAAATTCACCACCCCAAGAACCCAACAACTCATCTGTTGTCTCACAAAACCAAATCAACAACAAAAATAATATCGATCAATCAAGTTCCAACGTTAACAGGTCTATTCTGCGCTGGTAACATAAATTTTGTAACTGGTAATTAAAGTGTCTGTAAATTTTTAAACCTTTTTCGCATTCTGTGCGCTCTTGTAACCTGTAAATTTGGTTACCATCTCATAAACTGGTAACAAAATATTGCCCCGTGAAATATGCAATACAAGAAATTCCAGAAATCTTCATAGCTGGGCTCGAATTATGTGTTCCGTGAACTGATTACTTCATTCTTAAAAACGCTGATTCGGTATTACGCGATACGTGATCGTATCCCTGCTATCGTAATTTGGTATTATGCGTTCCGTGAACGTACCCCAAATAGTGTAATCGTCAATCATTTTCATTCGATTGCAAACGGCCGTTCGTACGCGCGAATTAAAAAGTACAAGTAATTTTTAGCAAAAAAAAACCAACTTCAACTCTCATTTAAAAATATATATATATATATATATATCTCATGATCCACTGATCGGATCTTAACCAGATTTGGACCACCTCTGAGACACTACCTTTCCGATGCAAAAAGAATTATCGAAATCGGTTGACGTGGTCCAAAGTTATGCGGTAACATACATAAAAAAAATAAAAAATATTCCGACGAACTGATAACCTCCTCCTTTTTTGGAACTCGGTTAAAAAGAAAAATTGTAAGTAAAATTGAAATTTGTAGAAATAATATATGCATGTTATATTGAAATAACGAAATTTTATTTAACTTAGCACACCTAAATAAAATTTACCAGCATCAGAAAAGCATAATGGGCGACTTTATGAAAGTCCATCCAAATTTGTCAGAAAATATATTATTTAAAATAACTATTATTGTTAATATAAATTCATCAACCAGTTTTACGTTCAAAACTACTTACGCCTTTTGCGGCAAAGCAAGAGGATTGCTTTTAGGCATAAGTGCAGTATAGCGGCCGTTGAGATAAAACCAAAATTAAAAGTGGGCGTGGTCCGCTCCCTTCTACTGATTTGAAAAGTATAGATTTGTTTTGGTGCAAATTAATAGGGGCGGAGCTAGAGGGGGGTTAAGGTGGAATTTTCAATATGTATTTTCAAAAGCTTTTATTTCCAAAACTATTGCACCTACGCAAAAGAATTTTTGCAACATAGCATACATCAAATTAAAGGTATTTTTACGCACTTTTTAAGAATGGTATTTTTATACCCGAGCGCACTTGTGCACAAGGGTATATTAGTTTTGTTCACATAACGGTTGTTTGTAACAGCCAAAACGAATCGAGATAGATATAGACAAATGTATACATAAATGCTCAGAATGAATAGAGAAATCGATTAAGCCATGTCTGTCTGTCCGTCTGTCCGTCCGTCCGTGTACGCGATAACTCGAGCAAAAATTGAGATATCTCAACGAAATTTGATATGTAGGTTTCCGTTAATCCAAGGTAGGTTGGTATTGAAAATGGGCGAAATCGGACTGTAACCACGCCCACTTCCCATATAACGGTAATTTCCAGAAATACGAAAACTTTGATATTTTAGTAACTACTGAAGATAATTCACTCAAAATTAACATTTAGAATAATTTTCAGACGAAAAATAAGAATATTATAAATTTTTGGAAAATGGGCGTAGCCTCGCCCACTTATGGTTACATGTGTGTATCTTGGTAACCGCTGCACCAATTTCTTCCAAACTTGGCACAGTTGTTGGCCTTGGTACAGCATAAAAAACCGCCGAAACTTTTTAAAATCGGACAATAACCACGCCCACATCCCATATAACGGTAATTTAGAGAAATACAAAATCTTCGATAAATCAGTAAATATTAAAGCTAATTTAATCAAAATTGATGCTTGCAACAACTCTTTACCAAGAAATACGTTTATAGTAAAATATTGGAAAATGGGCGTGGCACCGCCCACTTATGATCACATATATGTATATCGGTAACCGTTCTACCAATTTGTACCAAACTCGGTATTTTTATTGTGCTTGCCACATAAAAGCAAAACGTTGAAAATTATTGAAATCGAACTAAAATTACGGCCGCTTTTCATATAACGGTAAATTTCAGAAATGCTTGAAACGTCAATATATCGAAATTTAAGGACGCTAATTTACGCTTACCATGTAGCGGTAGCTTTCGGAAAGGTGAAAAAACATATATTTAATACTTGCGCCGGGTATTTAATGTTCGGCTCCACCCGAACTTAGACTTTCTTACTTGTTGTATATAGGTGTGTTGGTATAGGTAAGGTTTTTTAGAAAAACGTAAATTTTTATTAAAAAATGGTTATAATTTCGTTTTTTTTAGTTTTTTCGAATTATGTATATAATAAATGTATAAATATGCATATAAAATAAAACGCCTTTCAATTAATTTGCACCAAAAAAGTAGTTCGGCGTCCATTTGATTTTCTTTAATATTTTTCGCTTTGAAGTTCTTCACACGTTAGGTAAATAAATATTTATTTTGTTCACAAATAACGAAATGACATTTACTTGTAAAAATTTCTATAATAATTCGCCGGGAATCTATTACAATCTGTGAAAAATTACGCTACGTCAGTGAACGTATGTCATAATTTCAATATTGCCATGTATACGATCAGTCACGTAAAATATTTTCATACGATTGCCGATTCGATCACAGAACACATAATTCGAGCCCTGGGGTCGAATCGTGACAGACGTGAACGAGTCGGCAATCGTACGAACACAAATTACGTGATCGTTTAAACGAGTGAACAATATCGGATGATAACAATCGAAGGCGAACGAATCGTTATTGTTTATTTGGTTATCGATTATTTTACTCTTCTTCTTCCTTTTTGTAGGTTACAATAGACATTGAAATGTTAAAATACAAGAAAAGTGAAAAAACAAAAGCAGCAATTTAAAATGGATCCAAGTTTATTATTTTATTTAAGTTCCAGCGATAGTGAGAACGATGAGAGAATTGTTCGAAAACAACTTCGAGACAGGAGCAATCCCCTGGCATTATCCAACAATGCGTAAGTGCTCATACTTGTAATAAAAAGTAGGTTTCTAATCTCATATTTTTGCAGATTCATTAAACGATTTCGCCTTAGCAAAGAGGCCTTTCAATATGTGTTGACAAAAATTAATATAAATAGCCACGATACAAAAGCTGTTCCTGCAGTTCTCCAATTAGCTGCAAGCCTCTCGCTCCTCGCCAGCGGCAGCTATCAACATGAAATTGGTAGCGACTATTTGATAGGAATGTGCCAGGGCACCATCTCAAAATTGACATCCAATGTTTATAAAGAAATGGAGAACAAGTTGTGTCCGGAGTTTATACGGTTTGACCTAAACGAGTCTCAGAAATGCAAGGAGTGGTTTGTGGAGCAATACAAAATACCGGGAGGTAAATATACATACATACATACATTCTTAAGTAAAGTGTTATGCTTAACTAATTTCTACTTTTCAGTAATTGGTTGTGTGGATGGCACGCATATTGGACTGCAAAAGCCAACTAAAGACGAGCATATGTTTTTTAATAGAAAAGGATTCCACAGTCTAAATGCTATGATAGTAAGTAACTATATTTTGCGCAATGTAAGTAGATTATCTACATTTTATTGTCTTCGTTTGTTAGATTTGCGATCATACTTACAAGATCCTTGCAATCAACTGTCAGTATGGGGGTGCAGCACATGATTCCTTTGTGTGGAAGCATTCCAACCAGAGAATGACTTTAGAGGAGCGTTTTCAGCACAACAGGAATGCAAATTCCTGGCTACTGGGTAATGCTATAAATTTTAAACGACCTGTGGAAGTTATAAATTTTTATTTACATTTCAAAGCGGACTCTGGGTACCCACTCGAGCCTTGGTGCATTACTCCTTACATAAATCCTCAAGACGGATCAGAGGAGGCAAGATTTAATGAGGTACATTCAAAAGCTCGAAGCATCGTTGAGCGAACGATTGGTGTGTTAAAAGGCCGCTGGAGGATTTTGACATACGACAAGAGAGGGAGGTATGATCCGATAAAAGTGGCTAGATTCGCAAATGTATGTGCGGCGCTGCATAACATTTGTATTAAATTTAAAATAAGTTATAATCCTCCAAACTATGAGGCTGAAAGTAATCTTGATATAGATATAGGAGAAGATGGTCAACTTACCCGAATTGAATAAAATAAAAATAATGAAATATATTTGCTTGTTCATTCATTTAATTATATGTATGAAGGTACTTAAAGTAGAAACATTCACATACTACTACATACTAATGGTAAAAAAAATAAAATTTGTACTTCACAGTAATTAAAAATAATACTCCGGCAGTTTCTGCAATTCACTTCCGATTGAATTTCATTCAAGTTTGTTTCTAATTAAATTAATTAATTCAATATCACATAAAATAAATTAGGGTTTGGACTTTGAGCCTAACACTTCCAATTCTAGGCACTTTATTTGGTAGTCAACTTGCCTGGTTGACATTTGACTTTGGTGCTCCGCCTCTTTCATCTGTAGCTTCCTTTCATTAATTTCAAGCTGTCTCTCGTTCAGTTGAAGTTGCCTCTCACTAATCTCAAGCTGTCTCTTTGAATTTCAAGATGCTCGTCGAATTTACCGCACATGGTTCGCTGGTGTTCTGCCGTTGCCTTCAAATTCCCCTCTAACAGGGCCGTTTTCGCATCCTGTGACCGCTTTACTTTTGGTGTTGCTCGTGGAGTAAGCTTTCGAGCAGGAGTATAGCAGGCTGCAGAGGTGCTTGGTAAATCTAACTGGCTGGAGCTTGATTCATCCTCACTTTGAATCGAGGGAGCTGCTGGTGAGGGAGTTCTTACATCTCCAAAGGTTGGGACAGAATTGATCCCCTCCACACAAGCTTCTAACCCAGCTGCTTCAATAAGCAACTCCTCTGCTGGTGTTAGCACCTTCTCCTGATAAGGTCCTCCACCTGTGCGTCGTTTCGAGGCCTTATTAAAAGATAACTTTCTCTTTGCATTATACATTTGATCAGCATATACCTAAGACAAGCAATTGTTAGCGTTGTTTTTGATAAAAATATCAAATACATACTTTTTTCCACAGCTTTGGGAGTTTTGTTGGTGGTCCTACTGCATTCAACTGCTTACTTAGCTGTTCCCATAGTCTGTTAGCAGTTGCCTTCCCTTGCGGGCAGTTTGGCAACAAATTTTTGGCCAAGTCCGGATGTTCCGCCATGAATTGCGCTATCAGCCCCTTTTGTGTGGAGTTTAATTTATTATTGTTAGTCCTAAAATATTTTAAATGGTTAAAAATATATATTTATTTGCATATATATTAAATTTAGTTACATTTTTTTAAATTTTCCACGAAATATGCGCGCTCACGTTTGCCAATTTTCAATCGAATGACATTTCGGCGATCGAGTACGTTCAGTGACACGTTCACGATTGCCATCATGCCGAATTTCGATAAAATTGTTCGTTATCGATTGTCATAATTCGATATTGCCATTTTTACGTGACGAGTAGCTCGTTCACGTCTGTCACGATTCGACCCCTGAACTGCTGTATATGTTCACTGCATTACCAACGTACCTAGAATCGCGGTGACAAGAAATGGTAACATTTTTTGGTAATACAATTTTCCGGTCACAAAATCTTCGGTAACGTGCAGAATAGACCCGTAAGTCAAACACAAATCTTACCAACTTTTCCAACAAAGAGCAAAGCAACATTCTTGACATTCCTCAGTTAACAACTGTTATGCGCTCACCGTCACCAAACAAAAACAAACAACCCGCACAANTTTCCGGTCACAAAATCTTCGGTAACGTGCAGAATAGACCCGTAAGTCAAACACAAATCTTACCAACTTTTCCAACAATCTTGACATTCCTCAGTTAACAACTGTTATGCGCTCACCGTCACCAAACAAAAACAAACAACCCGCACATGCAAAGAACGATTCTCAATCACTTTCAAAACCCACCATGCTAGCAAACAACAACAGTGATCAAAATGCACCACCTTGCAATCCCCACAAAGATCTACAATTAGCAAATTACTCGCTGACAGGACAAGCAAAACAAAGTGATAACAAATTTGAGAATATGCAAACCGACCTTTCGCGATACAAAAACTCACAAGAAACTCCCACAAAATACCAACATCCCTCACATTTCAACACAAACAACATTAAAATCGACTTTCAATATAACCATCGCCCAGACTCAAATTTAAAAACCCCCCGGCAACACACGATTTGTAAATGACACAGGTGACCATCATATGCTTACTGACATTTCCGACCAGAGTGTCCAGATTGTTTAAAAAAAAGCGCAATTTCTGAAAAAAATCGCCAAAAATCGGCAATTTTTTTTAAATAAAATTTATGAAATCGATTTAACAAATCTTTTATTTTAAAAATGAGATCTTGTTATAATATAGTTTTTAAAACCAAAAACGAATATAATACATTTAACCCTTAATTAGGCGCATGGGGTCAAGGTCATTTCAAGTTGAAAAAAATGTCTTGGAGTGCTTGGAGCGTGCTCGCGCTCTGTCTAGCTTTCTAACTCCCCGTGGGGTACGTAAATAAGTCACGGCCAGAATATCGGCGTGTACACATTTGTCGCTACTCTTTTAAGCCCTGACCCCATGCGACCACTTATGTAACATTTTTTAGTTTTTATTTTTGTATCTAAGTTTGAAGTCAAAGTTATGCTTTTCTTTCTTAAATTTAACTATAATAAAGAGCTTTAATATTTATGACAAAATACATTTCGTTTTATTTATTTAGTTACGGTTAGAACATCGTCGAGTACACATGTGTCGCTACTCGCTTGAGTGCTGACCCCATGCGCCTACTAACGTAACATTTTTTCGCGGAAGCAAGTTTTAAATTTTTTTTTAAGTTTGAAGTCGAAATTATGTTTTTCTTTTTTAAGTTAACGATAATAGAGTACTTTAATATTTTTGGTAATACACACTTCCTTTTTTTATTTTGAAAACTCTTTTTTCAACACTTTTATTTTCTTTAAAAATACGCATACTTTTTAAAAATATTTTNAGTTTTAAATTTTTTTTTAAGTTTGAAGTCGAAATTATGTTTTTCTTTTTTAAGCTAACGATAATAGAGTACTTTAATATTTTTGGTAATACACACTTCCTTTTTTTATTTTGAAAACTCTTTTTTCAACACTTTTATTTTCTTTAAAAATACGCATACTTTTTAAAAATATTTTTTTTAACACATTTTGCAATAGGACTGCGCAATTATTAAATTTATTATAACTCATATTAATTGATTAATCGCACAATCCGCTTTCAAGAGCTCGGCGCTAAAAATTAAATAAAAACCTATAATAAGGCGAGATCAACTATTTCCACAATTTCTTTAAAATCACCTATAGTGTCTGAATGATTTACATTTCTGTTCTTGCCATATATTGAGCTACTCAACCTTGATAACATACTGTTTGATATTTATTTATTCATTCAATAGTAAATACTATGTCTCCATTGAGAGATTTATCCATTAAGATTTAATAAATCCAGTTGCTAAATCACAACCGTCTCCATTACCACAACGAAATATGTTTGACGTTCACATTTTTAAATATTTGACGTTTGCTTATGTATGATTTTATAAATACAGTTGCGGACATTGATATACAGACAGATAAAAGGAAGGTACCAAGCGTAATTTCATTATATGAATTCTGAATATTATTGGCTTCTTATTCGTGGTAAATATGTATGTATAATATATAGTTTGAAAAGTGTAAAGAATGGTACCATATTCCGAATCATTTTCCCGAATTTAAGAAAAATTATCAAAACGGTAAAAAACATTTGCGGAAAGTAAAATTTTTGTAGAACTCTCTTATTCATAGGAGTGAACCGAAAATCCAATCGTGGACCTTTGGCATATCATGAATACGAACAGAGTTCTAGAGGATGTTCGGTGCAATGTTATCGAAGCAGAACCATTACCGAAATTTATAAATTTTTTGTCGCAGCATGTAAATGACTTACAGGAAGCGGAGAAGACTCTGCACTATATTACTATAAAGCATTTCTTCTAAATTTTTAGTTGTTAAAATAATATTTTCTTAATTTATTATAACCAAAGTTATGTAAATATGTATTACTAATTGTCCTCCCAAACTAACAAAAATATATACGAAAATTCATGTTTTTATGATAAGCTAGATTTCAATGTCCTCAACTGTATTTTGAAACACAAATGTCATTTGACTTATGGCATGTGAATTTGTGGTTGCCACATCCAACAAATTGTACTTATTGATCAATATTATTGAAGATTTGACGAAGATTTAACTTAAATCTACTGCCTTTCGAGATTTAATTTTATATGGTAAATCTCAAATGATTTAACGTTAAATCTCGTCAGAGGGCTAAATCTTCATTAAATCTCACAATGGAGACATAGTATAATCTAGCTCAATAAAGTTGCTTACAGACTACATGGAGATAAAATATATCATACAATAAATCTAGCTTCATTTAACAATAGTTTGAAAGCGGGCTTAGACATAAAAAAATCTATGGCTAAAGAATTTGAGAGAACATTGAATTCTTTCAAAGCTCTAAAGATTGGAGCATTAGAAGCATAGAGAGTACGGACACGTTCAGTATAAAAAATATCTGAATTACGAAGGGTTCTGTTAGGAATATGGAAGCAAATGCATTCGAGTAAATACGGTGAATCAATCACACCATTAATTCAAAGACAAAGGTGAGCGAGAGAATTGTTCTCCTGCATTGAAGAGATTTCAAATTTATTAGCGCACATCTAGCTCTATATGGCGGAATTGGCTCGTCGAAATTCAATGATCGGAGCGCAAAGCGTAAAAACGTTTTTTGAACCCGCTCGAGCCTATTAATGTGGCACTCATAATAAGGTCTCCAAATAAAGCAAGCATATTCCAGCTTGGAACGTACAAGCGACGTGAACAACAGCTTTAACGTGTAGGGATCCGTGAAATCAGAGCTAAAACGGCGAATAAAAGCAAGTACTGAGTACGATTTGGCAATGGTGTAATTTAAGTGACTATGAAATAAAAATTTCGAGTCAAAGACTACACCTAAGTCAGTTAACTCATTACGAGTGGAAAGTCGAGTACCATCAATATAGTAGGAAGTAGGGGTTATACAATGAAGTTTGGAGAATGATAG